TACTACTACTAATACTACTACTACTTCTACTACTACTGCTACTGCTACTGCTACTGCTACTGCTACTACTACTACTACTACTACTACTACTACTACTACTACTACTACTACTACTACTACTACTACTACTACTACTACTACTACTACTACTACTACTACAACTATGGCTACCACTACCACTACTACCACTACTACCACTACGATCACTAGTACAACGACTACCACAACTACTACTACTACTACTACTACTACTTCTTCTACTTTTTCTACTACTACTACTACTACTACTACTACTACTACTACTACTACTACTACTACTACTACTACTACGACTACGACTACGACTACGACTACTACTACTACTACTACTACTACTACTACTACTACTACTACTACTACTACTACTACTACTACTACTACTACTACTACTACTACTACTACTACTACTACTACTACTACTACTACTACTACTACTACTACTTACAGGATGGAGGCGGTGAAGGAGGAGGAAGAGGAGGAGAAGGACGAGGAGGAGGAGCAGGAGGAGGACGAGGAGGAGGGGGAGGAGGAGGAGAAGGAGGAGGAGGAGGAGGAGGAAGAGGAGGAGGGGGGCAGAAGAGGGCGGCCGCGGAGGAGTGGAAGGGCGGCGCACGCAGGCAGGGAACGAGCACCGTCTCACCGATCCCTGGCACCCCTGGCACCACTGGCAGGGTACACACAGGATTCTCCCCGAGGGCTTCGAGGGGCCTATCCCCAACTCGGGGGGGCGGGATGGTGGGGGCTGGGATACCCTGGCCCAGGTGGGATGGGGATCGGTCCCAAAACACTGGAGAAAGGCATCTGGTGCCGAGGGGCGAAAGACGCCCAGGACCCGTCTCCCTCAACGACCCGTCTGCTTCGCGGGCGAGCCTGGGCGGCCATAGGCCGCCCCGGGCGCGCCCACGCCAGCCAGCTGCCCAGCGCCCACGCCGCCCACCGCCTCGTCCAGCAACATCGCCGCAGCCCGCCGTGGGCGGCGCCTCCGCCGCTCCGCGCCCGCGCCCGCCCGTCACGGGGGAGCGCTGGACACGGGGCCCATCGAGCCATGGGCCTGAGCCAAAATGGCTACTGACGAAGGCGAATGCGAGGCGGCGGTCTACTGTCGGAAACGTTTGCTCAGCGTGTCGCGGCGGCGGCCCCGGCGACACGCTCTGCCTCGCCACAGCGTGTCGCTCTGCTCCGCGGGGTGGGAGGCTGGGAAACGGCTCGGGACGTTGACGCCCGGGGACCGGGAAAAGGTTAGCAAGTCACTCCGAGACATGGTGGGCCAGAACCGGCAGCGCGACACGCTAACCCGAAGTTCCCGACCGTACACACGGAGCGAGGACTACCAGACTCGGGTCGGACGGAAGGGGGGACAGAAGAGATGGGTTTAGGAAAGTGGCTGCACGCAGCTGGTGGTCCAGCCTCCTCCAGGCGCCGGAGGCGGCCATGTATCCAGGAGAGCGCCCAGCGGCAGTTTTCCAGGCTCGGGCAATTACAGTGGGGGCGTTGGCCTAAGGAATCCTGAATAAGGATCGGGCCCCCTGTTTTTCAGAAAGGTAAGCTTCGATTTCCCATCGGGGACCTACGTAGGAAAAACCGAAGGCGAACGGCAAAATAACAAAGGAACACTGAGTCCCTCCCACACGAAAAAGGTTTACTTCTTCAGCGCCCCGACTGCACGCTCAAGAGCGGCCCCAGGCAAGAGTGACGGCTTGCCGATGGCTGCGTGCGGTGCGACTCTGGCGACCTGCGCGCTTGGGTCGGGCAACCCGCGCCCCCACCCCCAAAGCCCGTACACCAGACGTCACTCCGGCGGAGGGTCACTCTTAGAGGAAAGAGAACTATGCATACATATATATATATATATATGTATATATATATATATATATATATATGTATCTATATATGCCGATTCTGGCCAGGCCCACCCTGAGCCCAGGATCGGTGCATACGCCCGCTACCTTGGCCACGAGGGCGCATGCACCGCTCCTGGGCCCAGGATGGGCCAGGCCAATATCGGTGCATGTGCATCGTTCTGTTCGCCCGAACTCTTGCGTGTAGCCGGCACGCGCGAGAACAGCGCGCCTCGAGCACCGAGCCGGGCTGGGCCGAGGGCAGCCTCGGGGGGAGGAAGCAGCGGGAGTGCTCGGCGCACAGGGCAGAGGAGCGCGAGCCGAGGCCTCTGCGCCAGCGCGAGGAGCGGGCAAGAGTCCGGAGGGGGCGAGACCGTCCTCAAGCGAGGCCACGCCAACACGCGCACACCTGTTTCTACGACGCGGTGGTGGAGCAGCCGCTGGTGCAGCGGTGGCGGCATGCGCACGCGCGCACCCCGATCCGAGATGTGCCCTTTAGCCTCGGATGGGCCACCAATATCCCGTCTGCGCGAAAGACTTGCGCAAATGTGAGATGTACGAGGCGCTCATGCAGACCTAGTTTTGGGGACGGGCAGATCCCGGGAATGCGAATCGATTGGGGTAGAAGGAGAAACATTCTGGCCCACACGGCCGAAGCCGACTCAGAACTCATGGGCCGAGTCCAGGAAGGCCCACGGACCACGTGCCAAGTAGGATAGGACTATCGCTGTCTGCTCAGTCCAGACTGCAGATGGCATAATTCCACTTGGAAATACCTCGCTTCTGAGGACATGGGTTCGATGCTCCGAAGACTGTTCGTGGGCATGGTTTACGCCCATGGGTTGGCCATAGGTTCACCCCCAAACGTTGCAAGATGGGTTGCGAGTGAAGCCCAAGGCAATGTTGGAAGCAAATTATGCGCATGGGTTGCGCCATAGGCTACGCGCGTAGGTTGTGCCCCTTGCCGTGCGTTGCGGTGCATTGCGTTGCTCTACGCAGCTTTGCTGTGCATAGCGCTCCAGCGCGCTGCATGACATTACCGATCACATTACTTAGCCTTCCTGTACGCTGCAGGGCACCTGCTGCGCGAACTCACTCTCAGCTGTCCACGCTGGAATAATGCCACGATCAACGAATCGGGGGCAGAAGCAATCGTGCGATGCCGTGCACGGCAGGCGGTGGCGATGTCGCGGTCATCGACACCTCTGCCGCCTTCGTGGCAGGCCCCCCCCCCATATCTCGCTTCTCTCCTGTGTGCCCCATCCCCCCACGCTATTCGCTCGGGCCACACTCCTGCCTCACTGCTCCACCCTGCCTCCTTCAACCACCTTCGGGACCCTCTCCTTCCGCCATCCCCCTTCTTCCTCCTGGTCCTCCTCCTCCAGCACACTCACCGCAGGGTTTCCCTGTGAGCGCGTAGCACAAAGCCATGCTGGCTTTTGCTCCTCACCGCCAGTCCTCCTGAATGTGCTCGACCTTGGCAAGGATTCTCGATCGGGGATCGCATTCCTCGTCCACGCTCAGAGAGTGCAGATGAATTGGGGCTCTCGCGCAGATGTTCACCTGGCGGCAATGCCACACCCTCAGACAGTAAAAGATACATGCCCTCAACTCGCTACAACACGATCTTCCAAAGTTCTTGAACTCATTGGCCTAATGAGATCGACAGCATGAATGTATCGTAAACCTCCCCCGCGGCACGACAAAAAAACAAAACTCCTGGACTCCACCCTGCTCGTCATCTGGATCAAACGCATGCCCAAGCAAACGGTCAGCCATCCGCTGGTGGAGCAAATCGTAGAGAGGGCTTGGGAAAACCGAAAAGTACCGACTGATACTCCCCAGACCCCTGCCGGGGTGCGTTCTGACCAGGACTTCGAGGCGAATCCAGCGGTGGCGACGAGGGCCGCCCAGGAGGCCCAAAAAGGGAAAAATGCGGGAAGGGTAGCGGTATGGATACCTTTTCCTCCTCTCTACAGGGACAGTTGCGGGCCGCGGGCTGCTCTGGAGCAGGCCGAGTTGAGCCTTCGATCGTGATGCTGATCCTCTGCTCCTGGACTGGCACACGCACGATCGACTCCGACGTCGTGATTTCTTCACGGAATGGGTTCCCGAACCTCCGTTTGGACGCCCGCAACGGGTACGGAAAGTCTGGGTACAATGCCCAACAACACATGTTGTCCCCGCGGCCCCGGGGCTGGGCCAGCGAAGCCGCCGATACGGGTGTGTTTACGCCCGCGAGCGAGGGAGCGGAGCAGTCATCGTGCTGCCGCGAAGAACGCTTGAACAAGGAACGGCGAAGGCTGCCTTGCTCTTGCTCCTGCGAGCCCTGGCCACGAGGAGGTGCCCCGACCCATAGATGATGGGGCGACCCGAAAAAAGCGAGCCACGGCCCGAACCAGAGGCGGCCCGACAATAGGACGACGACGACGACGACGACCAAAGCGACGACGAGTGCGACGGCGCGACGGCAGCGGCTGCGACGACAACGTGGTGCAGCTGAGCGCCCAGCCAGGTCCGCGAGGTCGCCGCTGCCCCAGGTGATGTCGTGGCCGCTCAGGTGCAGGCAGAGCACGCCCAGCAGGCAGGTGCTGCGCACCTCGCAGGGGGCCCCGCGCATCCAGGGGTGCGCTCCACGAAGAAGAAGAAGACCCGGCATTGCGCTGCATGTCTGATGTCTCATGCCTGCTGCTGCTAACCGTAGTTTACAACAAAGCACCTCTGACAATCGATCGAACGAGTATGCAGTCGAGGTCAGGGTAAAGCGCACCGTGCAGCCTGGCAATCGAGCGAGTGCGAGACCGATCGCAAAGATATTGACCCGTGCGAGCGGGAGGCGAAAACCTCTCGGGCTCCGCAGGAGCCGATGCCTCCAGGACGGCGGGCCCCAGACAGGCCCCTGGAGCACCCGAACCCTCCCGAATTCGAGCCCACTCCCCAGCAGGCAAGCAACGACAGACGAGAGGAAAACGACGGGGCAAGAGAGGCGACAGAGAGGAAGAGCACGAACGCGGGAGGGGGCGAAGACAAAGCAGGAGAAGAGCAAGCAAGCCGCAGCGGAGGGGGGAGTGAGCTCACAGTTTAAAAGACTGCCCTCACGACGTCCTCTGAGGAGGAGGGAGAAGGAGGGCAGCGGCTGGGCGGTGCCTCGAAGTGCGGCGAGGCGGGCTGCAGCTCATCAGACGGGGGTGGAGAGGTGGAGGTCGCCCGAGACGCGGGCGTCGAAGAAGTCCCCATACAGAGACATCCCCAATTCCAACTCCCAGGTACTTCAATATGTAGACACGGCACGGCCCGAAACTTCGAGGCAGCAAAACCTGACCCGTGCGCCGACGCATACGGCGGGCGGGCAAGGGCGAACAACATCCAACCCAGGCCCCCTGGAAGGCGCATCAGGACAGTGGCGACGTGTACCCCTCAAGGGGGAGCGTTCTGACTGGGCCTACCCGATGAGGACGCAATCTAGGACCCCCAATATGTAGATGCTTCTGCCGGCCGAGAACTCAACTCCGCAATGCGAATCCTTTCTCATAGTGCTCCTAATCTGCACTGCCACGACTCTTGCCTCCCTTGGGTTTGGACCGATCCAGCAGCTTCTGGGCCATCGTCGCCAGGTGACCGACTGGCGCCGTTCCCAGCTTGAGGCGACCTCCCAGGTGAACCAGCGCAGTGACTAGAGCCTGCTCCATGATTAGCTTCGACACCCCTGGCTGGCCCTCTCCCAACGGAATCTGAAGACCGCCCGCTATGCTGAACTGGATGCGGCAGAATTTCTCGCTGTAACATTTGCGAACCCTGAAATGACGAATGACCAATCCCAACTCCTCCTGCGAAGCCACCGAGAAACAAACTTGTCGTAAAAAAGCGCTCAGCACCTGCGACGGCTCCAGGAGTGTCTTCACCTGCTCGTCCTCCTTCAATGATTTGAACGCGGCGCACGCGATGTACAAATGAGGAGGGCCAACCTTCGCCTTGAGCTCCTGGGTCGCCGTGACTTCGGCGCAGTGCTTGCCTGCTTGTTTGGCCGCGACTACAGGGCTGCACTCCACTGGCGAAACTATCGGGGTCCACTCCGAGGCCGCCATGTCCCTAAACTGCTGAGCGTGTAGGCAAGCCATTTTCAACCGTATGTTCAGGGCCTGTTGAATGCCTTTTGCCTTCACTACCCCTTCCACTTTTGCCAAATCTTCGTCTGCGTCGTCTGCCATTGATGCGATCCGTCCCTGTTTGTCTGGAGGTGCGCCGTCTGCAGGACCGCCCGCTTTCGCCTTGTGTCCCTGGGGCAGCGCGCCGAGGTCCATCTCCACGTCGCAGTCTGCGCAGTGCCAGTTGGGGAGGCGGCAGAGAACAGTGCGTTTGAAAATTCCGTTGCAGAGAGTACAAGCCTTGAGCCAGGTAAGTGAAGATGACGGTGGACTGATGACCTCACTCTGCGAATAAGAACCCCGACCCACCGCGCAACGATTGTGCTGATAAGACCGCATCACGTGCCTCTGCGCGTTCTCTCGTGAGCCCAGGGCCTGCAAGCAACGCAAGCATTGACTAGTGACAGTCAACAGGCTGGCCTCGTTCCTAACCGAGTGGGCCCGACCCGCATGTAGCAACAGACGCTTCATAGACGAGAAGCGTTCCCCGCAAGCCCCGCCCTCGGCCGTCGTGAGATTGCACAGGTGGGGCCCCTCGATCGCGACATCGCCCGAAACGTCGTCGTCAATCACGAGTGGAGCCTCGAAGCCTGGACGGGGGGACCGAGTGCGAGAAAGCCTGGGCCCGCAGTACCGAGAAGTCGACCTCGGACCACTCGGCGAACTCCTGATCGAAGAGAAGCTTGAGGAGCGGATGACCCGAAGGAAGAAGATACGGGAGCTCCTCCGAGCCCTCGAAACCGAACGTGAGGCCCTCAAGTACCTGCCGAGTCCAGGGGTTGGCGTCGCTGGCCCATGTCCAAGATGCGGTGACCACCTCCTCGGAGCCAAGACGCCCGAAGACACTCGCTCTGGCCTGCAGATGGGCCTCGGGGAACTTGCTCCATCTCCGATGCCACCTCAACCTCCTCACCCGAAGCTCTCTGTCGCACGGTAGGCTCCGCCAGTGTGCCCACGTACGCGCCGCAGACCAGCGGCGGGGCTCCTGTTCGCCATGATCCTCGAGGCCCGAGATACCCAGACCCCTTCTCATCGCCCGCTGTAAAACCTGATCAGCTGCAGCACAAAAACTCTTGCCAGGAATCCTTGCCCCCATCCCCGAGAGAAAGGCCGACTGGACGAACGCGAGCAGGGCCATCCTCTTAGCGCTCAGCAGCGTCGCGTGGCGCAAGAACAAAATGATCTCCCCATGAGCCTTCCCTCCCAGCTTGAATGCGTTTCAATTTTTCAAGCTGAAGGGAACCGCTTGTCGCCAGCCAGCCCCCCCAAGAGCTCGCATGAATCTCCCAGCCTTGCCCGAAGTGGAAACGGCCCCACTGAAGACTAAACGCCGCTGCCCGAGAGAACCAGGACCTACGAGCTTGACCAGGGAGGCTCTTTTTTTCTGGTTTCAGGGCCACGCCGATCTGATTCAGCGCGCGCTGCAGGTGCTCGCTGCTGACGCGGGCGAGCGCCAGCAAGTGGCGCGCATCACCTCCCATGCGTTGTGGTGGTGGGCCTGGCCCAGGGATAACATGCTTTGTGGTACCATCCGCGAACAGGGACAGGCCGACGTCCGTCGGGGCCCCGTTCGGCTCCGCGGCCAACGCCATAGAGCTCGACGTCGTACGCTGGCGAATCTCAAAAAAAGGCTCGAGGCCTTTCTGATATAAGTGAGGAAAGCCTCGCGCGGCGCTCGGGCGGCCCATGAAGTCGCCCGTGCTCGGGCGCAAGCAAATCGTCTCAGCTGCGGTAATAATCTGACACGCACTCGGAATAATCCTCTGATGTTGAAACCTGACGTCTTCCTCCAACTAAAACGATGGCAGAATATCCTGTATAATATCCCTCGATGCACTAGAAAAAATAGTCGCATCTCCGTTAACAATCGCGTGAGAATATCCCTGCCTCTGCAGCCCCCACGAGGTACAACGTGGAGTTAATATTGCAGGTTCCCTCCTGCGCTTCTTTGCACAACCATGACATACATATGGAAGAGGTTCGCGATGTCGCCGGGCTCTGACCCACACATGCGAGTTCCAAGCCTTGCCCAGAGGGCAGAAAAGATGGATCCATCTCTGACTTTCAGCACCTGGTGTCCCGTTATGTTTGTCCAGTCCACAGCAGGCTGACAAATCAAATATAGGCGGCGTTGCTGATGTTCTGCGAAAGCTGGCAAGCAGATCCAGAAAACGCTCGCTAAAGGCCTGGGCCGAGGCTGGGCGCAACTCGGCACCAACTCCCCCACCGCGGCAGTTGCCCCAGCCCTCCTCGTCCAACAATACTAGCCAAAGCTCCGATGGGAGCGACCGTGTCGGTGTAGCCCGACGCTTCGGAGCTTTTCTCAACTGGCGAATGACCCCACAGAAACCCTGCCTGGCCGCGCCCATGTGCTCGAACTGCATGGCGTTGCAGCGCGCGACATCTGAAGCATCCCATCAGTCGGCGCGCGGGCGGTCGAACCTGTCAACCAGCTCAGCCTGTAGGTCGCACCGAGAGGCCCCCAGTCCACCAGCCGTGGCGGGGCGACACAGAAACTCAGAGATCTCCTGGGCTTCGCTGTTCTCGGACTTCAGCACAAAATACGTTCTGTGTCGCGGTCCCGCACCTCTCTTTGACGGCCGTCGTATAATTCGCTGCACATTGAAGTGGTCGTGTGCTTTCCACGCCGTGAGTGATGCTTCCCTCTCTCTCTCTCTATTTATCCACTTCGATAGATGTCGCATGCGAAAGCGAGTTCGAGCCAACAGCAGTTCAGTTTCCCTCTTTTGCTCCAGACCGTCCTCAGCCACACCTTCAAGATCACGGCAATGAAAAGCACCAATGTATCTGCCTCTGAGCCGCTTCCGTTCACGAAGTAAAACATAGACCGTTCCCTTTTCCACCTGAGATAGTTCGATCTCCTGCTGCGACTTCTTCGAAAAAATATCCTGTGCCACGGGGGCCATGAGACTCATCGCCGAGTTCCACGCTTCGTCCACTGTCGCCCTTGAGCACAGGTGGACCTACTCCTCCTCAGGAGTGGCGCTAATCGACTCTTGCATCTCCTCGATCGAAGCCGTACACGACGAGCGACCAGATAAACATCTCATGATTCGATCGTAATCCCAAGCCGTCTTGAGCTCACCAAATTGCGCCTGGAAGTCGTACATGCATTCCATCAAAATGGGTCGATGCTCGCGATCATCCAGTGTCGATATCGGTTGTAATCTTCGACCCGCCCCGTGCAGAATAACATATCGTCGCACGTGCTGCCGAAGCTGCTGAGGAATCACTAGAAAGTCTGTGCGAGACGTGGACCAGCCCACCCCAAAGAACGTCGGGCCCAGCGGCATGAATGTGTTAATCGCGCACATGTGAGTGTCCACCAGCAAGTGCCGAAGAGACGTGCCTGCGACCCCCTCTGGGCCCCTGTCGAAAGGTCCGATACAAGTCCAGTCCTCCACGTCCGTATCCTCAGCAGGAATCATGTCGCCTTCGAATGCGTGGTCCCTTGCGTTGCCCAAACCGTCGTTCAAGTCCATGCCAAGGATGGGTGTGCACCTTCCTCAAATAATTTGCAATATCTTTCGGATCCAGCCCGTCATTCGTGTCACAGTTCGTCGTTGTTCCGCTCGACCTGCGCGCACACTCGAATAGACTGTGTAATAAAGCGATGCAAACAGCACGTCCATGTTTCCCGGCTTTAATTTCACGGCGCCACAGCGCCCTTCCAGATCCACGGGTGAACGAAAATCTTTCTTATGAATCGCTGGGGGGGAGACCTTTGAGTGCAACATAATGTTCGTGCCACAAACTTTGTTCGATGATCTCGGGAATCCAAATGATATGTCGTAGTGCTTCGAATGGCGAAAAACTCGATGGGGTTCACCTGCTCCTTTCCGCCGACCAGTCCCCTGAAGTAATACTGCCCCCGCATTTCCAAATTCTGAAGAAACCTCTTCCCCGCGTAGTCCACACAGATGCATAGGGTTGTATGAAACTGCACGACTGTGCCCCAGCGTCCTGGGGGTGCCGTCGCCCATGTTGTTCTAATGAAGTGATACTTGTCGACGTCGCACTGGCGGGAAGCCTGCGGCGAGGACGGGCGCGGCAACACCCTTTCTCACGAAGAGCGCGGGCCCCGCACGAGGAAAGAAAACATCGCTGCCTCTGAACGGTGTGCCCTAGCAATTTCAGTAGCTGCGGCGAGTGTGTGTTTCAAGCCGCGACAGCAGCTCCACGAGGAAGAGGAGGAGGAGGAAGACTGAGGAACAGGAGGAGCGACCCGTGCACCGTGGAGGAAGAGGACCTTCGGAGGGCACATCACGCCGGCACGACGAACCCCATCTGCGTGCCACTGTCGAAAAGTACTGGGCGTTCGTGCAACAAGCGAAAGAGCAAAGACGTAAAACGTGCGAATTGAGAGACGAAGCGCGCGTGTCTGATCATACTCTGTTATCCCTCCAGGGATCTGGCAGCATTAACCATTATATATATATATATATATATATATATATATATCATGCCCCCGGCGTCGGCGTCAAGACTCCTGGCGCCGAGGAGGTGGTGACTCCCTCACTAGTGACCCCCCTTCGGCACCAAATGGTGAGACGAGGGGAAGAAGACCACCGCCACGACCGCCACTAGTACGACCGCCAGCACGACTCCCGCGACCACCGCCACGACCGCCACCAGCACAACGACCAACACGACTCCAAAACGCTCGACCGCCAGCACGACCAACGCAACCACGACGACCACCACGACCGCCAGCACGCCCACCACAACTGCCCCCGCCTCCCGACCTCTGCCCCCGCTCCCCCCTTCCCCAGCCAGGTCGCCCCTGCCGCTGCGCTGGCTTTGTGCCCCTCCCCCATCCTCCCCCTCCTGCTGCTGCTGCTGCTGCTGCTCCTCCCGCAAGCTGTGCTGGCCGAGGCAGGGCCCGAAGACGGCTCGAGGCTCGCTCCGCTTGACGCGTGTGCTCGGCGGCGATCTCGGACCGGCCTCACACGCCTGGCCCGTGGTCATTCGCCCCACAGGTGGACGAGCCATAGATGAGGAAGGAAGCAAGGAGGGAGGAGGGAGGGAGGAGGGAGGGAGAGATGAGGAAGGAAGCGAGGAGGAATCGACAGAGAGAAAAGAAGAAGAGAGGGAGTAGGGAGGGAGACAGGAGGAAGGAAGCGAGGAGGAGTCGAGAGAGAGAGGGAGAGAAAAAAGAAGAAGAAGAAGAATAATAATAATAAGAAGAAGAAGAAGAAAAAGAAGAAGAAGACATGGATGAGGGAGGGAGGGAGGGAGGGAGGGAGGAGGGAGGAGGGAAGTGAGGAGGAACAGAGCGAAAGGAGCAGAGAAGGAGGAGGGAGGGAGGGAGGAAAGAAGCGCGGGGAAAAGATGAGGAGGAGGGGGAGGAGGAGGATAGCAGGGGGAGGAGGGGGACAGAGAGAGGACGAGGGCGACGAGGGGCAATACGAAGGCGAAGGCACGGGGCGGCCCGGCGCCACGTCCGGCCACATGGCCTCGCTGAAGCGCAGCAGGAAGGAGCGCAGGTGGCGGTTGCCCAGCCAGGCGCCCAGGCTCACAAGCTGCGCGTTCGGGTCCGGCTGCGCCTCGGGAGCGCTCCCGGGGCCGGCCTCCTCCCCTGCGGCTCTGCGACCCTGGGACGAGAAGAGCCGCCAGAGTCATAAACTTCTGGCGCTCCGCGCGGATATCTTGGACCCGCGCTGGACCCCCCTCTCCGGCGCGCGGAGCGCGCCAGGGGCGGCGCAGGAGGCGCCGCCTGGAGGGGCCCAGCGCGGATCCAAGAAATCCGCGCGGAGCGCCAAAATTTTATGTCTAAGCGTTTTTTCTTCTTCGAGCCTCGGAGGCGGGTCTGCGAGCTCGCCATCGCCCACGAAGGAGACGCTCGGCTCCGACATGCAACGCAGGGCGACAGGGGAAACGAGGGAGCGGCACCATCGGCCCGTTGTCGCAGAGGCTGCGGGCACCATCGGCCCAAGCTGCATGATGGCAAAGCTCGAAATCTTGCACCTGCATCCTCCTCCTCCTCCTCCTCCTCCTCCTCCTCCTCCTCCGCCTCGTCCTCCCCAACCCTCTGGGGCCTTGGGAAACAAGGACGGCCGATGATTCTGAGTCTGGGGCCTCCTGAGGCTTGTCTCGAGGCCTGCCTCGTGCCCCAAGGCCACAAAGGAAATAACCCGCGTCGAATTTGTGTTCCCCTCGGCCCAGAAAGGCGAGCGCGCAGATGAGATGCAGAGGCCCTTGCGCCCCAATATTTGTATGCCTGCAAATCGCGAAAGGTGCCTCCTCAGCCTCTTCCCCCGTTCCCCTTCTCCTCCTTCTCCTCCTCCTCCTCCTCCTCCTCATCATCATCATCATCCTTCCCCTTTGCCCCGTCGCCGTCGCCGTCGCCCTCTCGGCCCACCCTTTGCGTTCTGCACGTGCACACATTCTAATCTAAATCCTGATCTCCCGCTCCCTGTTCGAGGATCTGGTGCCTCCGGCACGGGCTGTCGGATTCCTGGGGAGCGCTGCCAACGGCCGCAGTCTCCCCTGCTCCGCTCCGAGACGAGAACCGGGCGGATGTGGAGCCCGCTCGCCACGCGGACCGCGCCCGCTGCTCTCGAGCCTGCGAGAAGAGCGACCAGCTGGCTCCCTCCTCTCCTCCAGCTGCCGAGGGCCCCCATGAAGCACACCCTGGACGCACTCCGTCCCTGCTGGGCCCTCAAAGAGGCCCTCGGCCGACCCCCACGGCGGCTCCTGGGAGCGTCGACCTGCCACGCCCCCTTCGCCCGCCTGATGCACGTCGTTCCCCCTCGGCCTCCAGGGGCGAGCCGCTGGCCCCCGGCACCGCCGAGGGGGTACCCCCATTCGGACCACCTCTCGCGCGCTTCCTGCCCCGCCGACTCCCAGAGGCGCTCGGCTCACCCCTGAAGACGGCCCACATGATCTTCACTGCGGCACAGCCCTCTCGCGCGCCGCACTCCGTTGGGCCCCCAGACGTCCGCAGCTGGCCCCTCCAGACGGCTCTGGGAGCCTCACTTCGGCACACCATCCGCGCACCTCGCTCCCCGCGGACCCCCCTGGCTCTCAGGTGGCCCGAAAAAAGGCACCAAGAATACAGGCCCAACAGCGGGACGCCAAGACGAACCCAAGAGGAACACATGCAAGGATTCGTTCCGACACTGGGGCCGGGCGAAAGGGGGGGATAGCAAAGGGGGGGGTTGAGAATCAGCTCGCGTAGCCGATTTTCCCGGCGCCTCCCGGCGCCGGGAGGCGCCCACGTATCGAGGAATGGGCCCCGCGGCGGGGCCGAAACCAGCTGCATGCAGCAGGCAGCAGATTTCGTACCCCCCCCTTTCCCAACCCCCCCTTTCGTCCAGCCCGAGACACTCGCCGAAGCCGACCCTCGCCTCGCCGAAGCCGGACCCCTCGCTGGACCTGCGCGCTCGTTTCCCTGTGGGGGGCCCCGCCGTGTCTCCCGCTCCCTGCAAGCTCGACAAAGCCCAACACCTCCGCCTCCTCCGCCTCCTCCCCCTCCTGCGCCTCCTCCTCCTCCTCCTCCTCCTCCTCCTCCTCCTCCTCCTCCGAAACCGACTCCTCCTCCTCCGCCTCCATCCTCCTCCTTCTCCTCCTTCTCCTCCTCCTCCTCCTCCTCCGCCTCCCTCCTCCGCCTCCTCCTCCTCCTCCTCCGCCTCCTCCTCCTCCGCCTCCTCCTCCTCCTCCGCCTCCTCCTCCTCCTCCCTCCTCCTCGGGCGGGGAGGAATTGGGCCCCGTGGTAATCCGCCGCCGTGCCTGCACGGAGAGGGCGTGTCAGAATGCTCGTCTGTTGTCTGGGAGGTTGCGTCGAGTCTCAAGGCCCGCCCATTTGACGCTTCCAAGATAGCTTCCAAGACTGCCAAAATTACAACAGGACGGCTTCCAGATGACCCAAGACAGCTCGAGAGCCTCTCAAGAGAGCCTCAAGACGGCTCAGGATAGCCCAAGAGGGATACAAGACGGCCAACGAGGCCCCCAAGGCGGCCCGAGAGAGCTCCAAGAGGCCTTCCTGGAGTGCCAGAAAGGGGGGGGGAGAGGCAAAACCATTGATGTCCCTGAAGTGCTTGAGGAATGTCGAGGGTCTCGCCTGTTCGGGTTTCCGACCACCCAAGGCCCCAAGTCGGCCCAAGAGCACCCACAGATCGCCCAAGGGGTAACAAGCAACACGACGTCCCAGAGCGGCCTCTCGGGCTGCCTAAGGCGGTCGGAAACCCAATCATGCCAGGACCTCAAATGCCAGAACCTCAAACTCCTCCAGCAACCTACGGCAATTTACTGGTGTTGGCCTCCTCGGAGGGCCTCTTGGAGACCTCGTGGGCCGTCTTCGGGACCTCTTGATCTGTCTTGGGGCCTTCTTGGCAGCCTCATGGCCTCCAGAACGGCTTCCGGGGCAGCCAAGATGACGCCAAGATGGCCACCCAAGACCGCTCAAGAGCCTCCCAAGACAGCCTGAAGACATATCAAAAGCCACAAGGACAGGCCAAGAGGTCTCCAAGAGACCATCCTGGAGAGCCCGAGGCCAACACCATTGATTCGCCTTAGGTTTTTGAAGCATTTGGAGGCTCTCGTCTGATCAGGCTTAAGACCACCCAAGACGGCCCAAGAAGCCTCCAAGAGGCCTCCAATATAGCTCCAAAACAGGCGAAGATGAACCCAAGACGGCCCGAAGTCGGCCCAAGAGGACCCAAAAATCGCCCAAGGGGCTTCCAAGAAGGCCCCAAGACGGCCGTCAACCGCTCCAAGAGGGCACCAACGAGGCCTAGAGTGGCCCCCAAGAGGACCTCAATAGGCATCACACGGGCTAAGAGTCCCCTAAGACGGCCGAAGAGTCCTCAAGAGGCCCCCAAGAGGCTCGCAAGAGGCCCCATGGGCCTCCCAAGAGGACCCCAAGAAGCTTTCAGGAAGCTCCTAGGAGGCCCCCAGGACGCCCCAGGAAGCCTTCTCTTCCTAATCCTCCTGTTCTCCCTCTCCTCCTCCTCCTCCTCCTCCTCCTCCTCCTCCTCCTCCTCCTGCTCTTCCTCCTCCTCCTCCTCCTCCTCCTCCTCCTCCTCCTCCTCCTCCTTCCCTCCTCCTCCTTCTCCTCCCCCCTACCGCGCGGACGAAGACGAGGTCGGGATCACGACTCGCCCCAATGTAGACTTCTCGTCGGACTTGCGCAGCTTCTACACTCAGCCTCCTTCCCACTGCGCCGTTGCACAGGCACGGTGGTGGGGTTGGCCGCACGCAGCTGGACAATACAGTCGGGGCATTGACCTAAGGAACCCTAAGTTTAGGTCGGGCATGTCCCCCTACAGGCGGATTTTGGACGAAAAATGAAAAATACTCAAAAGAGAATCAGACATAGCCATCAAATACTCAAAACAATGGTCCCCAAACTATGTTTGGACTATTTTTGGAAATTCCTCCTGTAGAGGGACAGGCCCGACTTCAGGAACCCTGAATAAAGAACGAGGCCCCTTTTTTGCCATACGTGAAACTTCGATTTCCCATCGAAAACCCCGGGACACCACCAGGCAGACTGCGAAACCATTCAGGAGCACGGAGGCCTTCCCAACGAGAAGGGCTCCTTCTTCAGCGCCCCGACTGTAATTAGACGAACCTCGGCCGACCACGAAGCGACCATGCGCGGCCACCCGGCGAACGCCCGAAACACGCCAGAACGAGACCCCCACAGAGGCGTCCGCGGGCTGCCTGCCACCAGGTGCGACGCCGGAGGCGCTGGCCGATGGCCCAGAAGCGAAGTTAGGAAGGCGCGCAAATTAACTGCACGCAAGCGGTCTGCATCCGCCGCGGGGGACATACGATCCATGACACAGAAGGGGACACGTTATTTTGTCTGACATTTGCGAGTAGAGGCACTGTGCAAGCAGCGGAACGCGCTCGGTGAGACATGAGGAGCCCAAGGTGCAAATGCACAGTGTGGGGAACGTGTGGAGCCTCGGCTCGCCGCTGGCACCAGGGCCGACGACCAGGGACGTCGAGGGCGACCAGCCAGCGCGCACGACGCTCCGCGATGCGCGGCGCGCGGTTCTCTTCGCGCCTTCGCGCCGGCCCCTCTGGAGGAGGGCAGCTCCCCGGCCCAGGCGCCGCAACGCGCGAAGCGCGATGCTCGTCGCGACCCGGGGGGGACCTCTGGCGAAACATGAAACAAACAATGAGCTCGAGCCTGGATCTCACGCCACCGCTGACGCCGCCGACGACGCCGCCGACGCCGACGCCGACGCCGACGCCGACGCCGACGACGACGCCGCCGCCAACGACGACCGGACAGCTGGGCGCGAGGCCCGTGCCACGTCCGGGCGCGCCCACGCCGCGCGGGGCTGCGCTGGTCCGCCCATCGGCCGGCCCGCTGGCGCCGCCGCGGCCGTCTCTGTGGGGCGGGCGGGCTGCGGCGCGAGGGTCGGGCGGATGGGGGGGGGGAGGTGAGGCAGGAACCCAGACGAAGACGAAACCAGAACGGTGATAAAATCGAGCGACAACGAAGCACAAATCTCTGAGATCCGGCACTTTTGGAGGATGCCTCGGGAGCCGCGGCCTTCTCGGCGCGTTCCCCAACGCTCTGAAAGCGTTACAGAACGCTCCAGAGTGGATATATCTTTGTCCATCCCCCGTCCGACCAGACCCCCTCGCGTCGTGAAGCAATCGTGACGTAAAGTGTTTGGTCAGTTTGGGCGCCTGGGGGGCCTTATTGGAGCTTGGGCCCGTCAAAAGACCACTCGGGATGCAAAGCCAGCCCTGGGGAAGGAATCGGGATTTCGGCGGGTCCCGTATTGAAATAATGCACTCGGATGCAAGGCTGCTGTACTGTACAGTACCATATTGAAATTATGAAGACGACGCATGCGCGGGGGGGCAGGGGTGACGGATGGGGGGGGTGCTGGAGGGACAGGTGGGATTGTGGAAGGGTATGGGCGAAGGAAGGAGCAGGGGTATAGGCGAGTAGCACAGGATGGGGCAGGGGCGAAGGAGGACGGAGAACTGACGGATGGGTGTGAAGGAGGGGGGACATGTGTGCGGGCGGAGTGACGAAAGGGTCAGGGATTGAGGACGATAGGTTGAAGGAGATGGGGGGGAGGCTTCTGACTGCAAGCTATCGGGGTGAGGGTGCTTACGATGGTTGGCCAGAAGTTGCCCAGTAGCTACAGAACAGCCCGACCCACAGGGAGGAGATAACGGAGGAGGGAAAGAAGCGAGAGGGAAATTGGGCAGGGGAGGCAGGGGTGGGAGAGCAAGGGAACCGAGGGAATGGGTGGAGAGAGGACCGAAAGGGGGGGAGGATGAATGACGAAGCAGGAGGGGCTCGCATGCCAGCTCGCCAGGCTGGTACTTCCAACGGGGCAACGCAAATTGGGGGCGCCCCCAAAAGCAACGCCGAGTTTTCTCATTATGCTGGTCTGCGACATGCCGTTATCAATCGAAATAACGAGGTAGCTGGCAGCGTTCGAAATACGAAATACTACACTCTCGATCGGTAGCCGGATC